AATAATTGAGGTCTAGCTGTGTGGATTTTTCTTTCCTTTTTTATTTTTTTTTATTTTTCTGTTCGAAATGAGAACTTCATCTTGCTTTCAAGAGGATCGGGCAACTCCTTGCTCGAATTGAAATAAATTTTCCTTAATGCAGGCGAAACTAGAACGCAGCAGGAGCTGCTATTAGTACCTTCGCTTAATAAGCTCCAATAACGTTAATTACAGCGGATAATTACGTTAAAACTCTAATATAATTACAACGTGTCTCGCTCGTGCAATTCTGCTCTCTGTTATTTCTACGGAAAGATTTTGCAGATATGCTTTGGAAGCTGATGAGCAGCAATAATTAGAGAGCTTCTGCTTCAGGAATCGATTATAGAGATGAAACCACCGCTAATGGGTTTAAAAATATCGTGCAGTAATTAAACCGAGTAACTTGACTGAATTAACCTGTACACACTATCCAAAATTATCGTGAAATCCCAAGAAACTATTTCTTCGATCTGAAATTCGAATTTCCAAAAAGTACTTAAACATCGAAACCCCTGATTGTAAATTATCAATTATTAATTGTAATTATTTCTTAATTATTAATTATAATTAATAATTATCAATTATATTCGAAATTATTTTCAATTATTAAGCGAGTAATAAATACTTATGCTTTCTTAAAGCTCGAAATTTCTAATTAATCAGGAAAATAATAATTTTTGTATATTAATTAATTAACCATTTCAATTCAACTAGTATATTCAAATTTTTCTAATTTCTAATCATTATTATCTATCAAATAACCAAAATATGGTCATTAAAATTATCATCATTACTTAAAAATTGTATACAGAAATTTCAGCAAATAATTTCTAATTACTAATTATTTTTATATATTTATTACTAATTTAATTAACCCTTTGCACTCGAGAGGTGTGCTTCAATCACCATTTCATAAAATTTCGAAGATCGATATTAATTAATATATCAAATTTAATATAATGTAACAGTATACGCGGTATCGAAATCAAATAATTCCACAATTCTATTATTACACAATTCTTTATTTACTCTCAAAAAAATATCGTCAGTTGTTTTGTAGAGAATCTTTGAATTTCTACTCTTCTCTAGCCAAAAAATCGTCGAGTGCAAAGTATACCCTGTTCGACATAAATCTCCCGAATTTTTCATTCACCGTGCAATGGAACAAAGAAAATATTTTTCCATATACAATTCTCACAATATTAAAAACTATATTTCGTTCCTAAAATAGAAGCTTCGTTTTACAACTGCACATATTGCAAATAAATTTTAATTTCTCCTTTCCGTATTTCATATTTTCCAGTTTCTGCATGTACACGCCACGATTAAAGCAAAATTGTATATTATTTCGCATTGAACAACCCCTCACGCGAAAATCCACCCCATTGAAAGTGACTACAAACTTACCGAATCCGGGAGTACCCAAGACCCAGTCTACGCAGGGAAAATTGCAGAAGCGAGACAAAGCGAACGAATCCGTGGAACATCCATCAACCCGCGAGTCGCGGGATGCGCGAAAGGGGTTGCAAAAATCCCGCGGCAGAATTTAATATCGCGGAGCGTGCGATCGCTCTTCCCCCTGTCGCAACTCCCACTTTCCGCTCTCTCCGCGAAAAATTTCTTCCTCCCTTTGCCCGTGACTGATACCACCCCCTCGCGAGGGTAGTACCGGTAACAAGGTGTATGCAGATTCTATCAGCGAGAATCATATCCACCTGTGCCCCGTGGTCATTATCCCGTCTTCGTTTTCCTTTCTCCTCTTCCTTCTCTCCTCTCCCGGCATCTCGCGATCCTCGTTCGCCGGGCAGGTCGAAGAGGGTAGCGCGAGAGGGTGGAGGCAGGGGAGAATATTAAAAACTTTTTCCATAAAGCGTCTTCGGGAGGCGAGACGCCGTTAGACTGGGCATGAAAGCCGGTTCCTTGTAGTTTCAAGCGTATACCCGCCGGTTTTTCCGAATTAGTTCAGACGGTTTTCCGCGTTGCGCCCTCTACTTCCGTACTCCTCGCAGTGACGTAGCCAGCCGGGGGCGAGACGAGCGCGAGCGCCCTCCTTTGGCGCGGAGAAACGCGCCGGGGGAGAAAGGAAACAATGGGAATAATAAAATTTCATTTCACTGCTGGAACCCGTGTTCCTGAACCGGTTTCGATTTTTCGGTGTACTTGGTTTGCCGGTGGGGGGCATGGTAGGGTGAAGAAGCTGGAATTTGGGGGAATTTTTAAAGAATTTTTTTGAGGTTTTTCGATAAAATAATTCAAAGAAAGTCGATTCTTTCTTCCTTTTTGTTTTCAGGAGTGTGCAATAGTGTTAACCCTTTGCACTCGAGAGGCGCCTTTCAATCCCCATTTAATAAAATTTCGAAGCTCGATATTAATTAATATATGAAATTTAAAATAATGTAACAATGTGCGAGGTATCGAAATTAAATAATTGTACGTGTTAATTATTATACGATTTCTTATTTACTGCTTAAGAAATATCATCAGCCTTATGGCAGAAAATTTTCCAACTCGTGCCCTTCTTTAGTCAAAAAATCGTCGAGCGCAAAGGGTTAATTGTATTAAATCTTAGAATTTATATGGGAATTAAAGAGCAATATTTATGGGATCTAGGGTGTCCCAGAATTCGCGCAAGATTTTAATTTTGCGCCATTTGTGTGGGAAAGTGTTACCAACGAAAGAAAAGGAACAGCATGGCAGCTGACAATTCATGGTTATTAAAAATGGAATGCTACACGAGAGAACAGTGCGTTTTCATTGTTAAACAATATTTACAATTTTTAATTAAAAACCTGTGTTCTCTGTGAATTTTGGAACACCCATTATATGGAAGCCATACAGGAACTTGAACAAATGTAGTTTAAAGTTTAATTTTCCATAACAGTTTCAATTAGAAGTTTTATATAATTTCTTGGAATGTGAATATTTTAGAATGTGCTAGTAATGTACATTAAATCCCAGAACTTATATGAATGACAAGGAGTAACATTTATGGGATCTATATGGAAACCATACAGGAATTTGAACAGATATATTTTTAAATTTAGATTTTCCATAACTGTTTCAATTAGAACTTTTTCAGAACTTCATCTTGCCTATTTTCGAAACTTCTTTAACAACGATTTTTAATTACTGATAAATGGAGGATGAGGAGATGTGAGTAGTAAGGTGTGTAGATAGCTATAGGGTGTATTCACGAGAGGAAGCGAGCTAGAGCTATTGATCTTGGAATTTGTGTCGAGTGGACATTTGTTATTCCTTTTGACGAGTGTAAAAGTTCCAAGTGTTAGGCCCTTTTCCTTCCTACCCTGTAGGTGTTTAGAGGAGATGTAGAACTAGGGCAGTGTAAAATCTTGCGAGAAGCGTTGATTTTGCACTTCAATTTAGAACTAGGCCACGTAGTCGTGGAACAACCCTGTAGGGTGTATGATGTTTGCAAAAATTTAAAAGGGTGAGTCTTCAATTTTGTCGTCTTCTAGAGCCACAATTAAAACCACTTGATTTATTCAGTGGAACATCTATCGAAATTAAATTTTAGAATACTATACTAGACTAGAAATAATAGACCATGCAGAAATAATAGAATAGACTATGCTAGAAAAATAAATTCCATGATACGTACAAAAATTGATCGCCCACCCTGTATATTAAATTAAATTTTTATTCGAATTCCTAGTTTGTTTTTGCATCGAAATTTTGCGGGGATGAAAGAGAAATCTTTCTCGTGGAAAATGTGCTTTTAATTGCGTAAATATTTTATTTGTAACCGGTGACTGAGGAATAATAGTTCGCAAAGTTATACTGTCAAATATTTGGAGAAACACAGCAGGCGAATCGATAAATGCACGATGACGTAATTGAAAGGTTAATTGGAAATATGTTTGCGAGCACGAGGGTGGGGCTAATTAAGGAAATTGGATACGTAAAGGTGATTAGGAATGCGACCGAATGCGTAACAAATTAATTGGGGAAGATATTTAATTGGAGGAAAGTTCGTCAAAGCTAACGATGGAAAGAAACAAACTTGTATAGGCCAATGAGCACGCGATGCGAAACACTCGAGGAGTTAATTAAAGGTGCATCTCTAACTACCAAGTACCATCAAAAGTAGAACATCAAAATTGTCTGTAACGATCAATTTCGTCGCTCGAGAAAATAGTGGAAAATCTTAAAATAACTCGCGAACAAGATCCAAATTAATTTTCAAAGGAGTAAGAAATCGAGTCGAGAATAAAACGAACATTATCCCCGTCCTTCGTGGAAAATTGCCAATAATTGACCATGAAAAGTTATATCAAAAAATAATAATAATAAAAAGAAAAGACTGAACTTAAAAGTCTGAAAGACAAAATTCTACAAAATTCACAAAATAAGGAATCAATTAATATATACTACTAATAAATTATATACTACTTTATATACTACTTCTTTCATACTCCTAATATATACTAATAAATTAACTAAATTAAACCTAAAGGACTAAAAGACAAAATTCTACGAAATTCCCAAAATAAGGAGTAAATTAATATGTACTACTAATAAATTATATACCATTTTATATACTACTTCTTTCGTACTCCTAATATATACTACGAAATTAACTAAATTAAACTTAAAGGACTAAACAACAAAATTCTACGAAATTCCCAAAATAAGGAATAAATTAATATACTAATACTACTAATAAATTATATATTACTTTAATACTACTAATATATACTAATAAATTAAGAATATGCTACTTAAAACAAATAATAAAATGTGATAAAAGAATAAAAATATCTGCTACTACAGTTAAGAACAATTTTCTTCCGGTCCGCCTAAATTACTATACCCCCATAACGATACGTTCGTTATACTGCTCGTAATAATTCCGCCACCTTTCCATTACGCTAAAACGACCATGGTATCTTCTCCAAGAAAACCTTTATATTATGCAATTATCTCGAAGCGTAAAGGAAAAAATCGCCTTTCGAACATACTCCCTTTTTCTTCGCCTCTGCTCGTTCCCCTTTCTCTTCTCTGCATCGTGTCCCTTTGCCCATTTCTCCATGCCAGACCTCACACCGGAACGCCGCGCCGCGGCCGCCGCGCGAACTACGCTGGTTCACGTCCGCTCATTTACGTTCGACACACGCGTCGATCCCGACGCCTCGGGATTATTCTCTCGCAAGTATCGTTAAACAACCGCGCGAGCTATGCTTCGACAAATAAGATCCTCCTGTGGTGGCATCCAGAGCAGTCGTCTGCACGATTGATTTTCCTCGAGAAGAACGTAAGGTCTCATTTTATCGCGGCGAAGGAGCTGGCTAACTCGGTCTGATGGATCGGTGATCTCGGGCAACGTGCAAGCCATTCGTCTCTCGCGACGTTGAAACAGAGCCACCTTGTGGCGCTCGTCGTCCTTGCTCCAAATCCCTCGATCTTGTTCCCTGGCGTTACACGAGTCTTCTAATTATTTTTATTTTTATTTTTATTTTTATTTTTATTTCCTTTATTTTTTCTTTCCCATTCGTACCGTTATTTCTCATTTTTCCTTTTTACTTTCTGACGTCTTCGGGTAATTACTTCCGCCATTCCTCGTCGATGGCGCGGTTGCTCGAGAGATGAATTTTTGCGGAGGCTGGGAATCGATAAGACCCCGGTTTTCTTCTCTCCTTCTCTCTTATTACTCTTTTATTAGCTTTATTACTTTATTACTCTCGGCTAGTTATCCTGTTTTTCCCTGGTTTTTTTCCCGCGCCTTTCTTTAATCCTGTTTCTTTTCCTCGCAATTTTCTCGGCCGTCCGAAGTATGATTTTCCGCAGACAAGGTAGCTTTTCCGCGGAGAAGTCGAGTCGAATTTCCACGGTAATTATCGCGAAAAGGTTTTCGCTCGCGCGAGAATTGGATCGCGAATAGCTTGCAAATAGGCTGTCGAATTATTCAAAGTCTATTAATTTTCAGTGCAAATATTTATGCTCCTCTTATGATTTATGAAAGAGCTAAGCTCGCCGAGGAATCGTTGACTTATGTAATCACGAAGAAGTCATCTCGATCATTATGTTCTTCCAAACACTATATATTTTGAATCGCATTAAAGCACACCGTGTGTTTACGCGCCGTTAGCCGGATTATTTTACAAATTTTACGATTTTCCAGAGGTAAAATCTTGCACCCGGCAGTAAACGCTCCGCGAAATCCATAAATTTTCTTTCACGCACAACCTGCACGATCTTAAGTACAGTTTCGAGAAGCTTTACGTTGCATTCGAGCTTCCCGAAAGGCAACATCGTACGTTAATTTTGTATTTTCGTTCGCATAATTTCGCGGAAAATAAACTTTCAACGAAGTTGAAGCACTATGAGGAGAAAAATAAATCACTTCATTTTCATATAGCTAATGGAATATTTTTAAAACTGACCTACGGATATTCTTTAAATTATTTCAACCCAATTACATGAATTATACATCCGTCACTGCTTACCAAATTTTTAACACAGTCGAATGAATTAATAGTACATCAAAAATACGCTGTGTGAATAAATTCCTTCGATTTTCACTAAAGTTGACACTATTTTCCAGCTACCTCTTCATTATATTGTCTTCCCAATTCAGAGTAGTTCAGAGTTCACAGAAATATACCAATGTGTAACACTAGTAAATTCTTATCAGTTTTTGACGTTTGAACACTCGCGAACAGTCTCACAATCGTCGAAATTAAATTGGCAACGATTAAAAGTTGATAATTAAAAATTCGAAAAATTAATAGCAATTAATAATTCGCCTATCCCCCACATGGACAGTGAAAAATATTCCTCTAGATTCTTCAGAATCCTCCAATCCTCGTCAAAGTGTCCCTCTAACTTCGCGATAGATCACTGTGCATTCTGATGGCTATAGTCCTCGGGATTTGCTCTGATCCACGATGCAGACCGCAAATGGTCGTCAAAATGCAGCAAGTGGATGAGAACGTTCGAAAAGTGGCGGAGAAGCGTGTCGTTTTGAGCCTCCAAGCAAAACTAGTTGGTGGATGGCAGCTGAAGCCCAGCAGCCCTCTGCTTCTTTCTCCGTCGCGCGCGCGACTATTTAAATCTTTTGTAGTAGCTGCTGGCTACGATCAGCCTGGTCGAAGACTCTGTCGTCACGTGGCGACGTGGTCGCTGCTGGTGTCCATGTTCCTCAGGGTGTTCCGACCCGGGGCTCGCCTCTGAGGTCTCCTTAGGGTCGGGCTTCGCGGCTTCTTGGCGGTTTCGGCGCTTCCGAGTCCCTTGGTCGAAATTTCCAGTCACGGACAGACTTTCCCAAGCTTGCAACCTCTTCCCCTCTCTTTGTCGAGGTTCTATGCAGATTCTATGGAGATTCTGTGGACATTCTTGGCGATTGGCAGAGATCCGTGCCTAGTTCCTGTCAGGCATCCTTTTTTGGCCTCGTTGCTCGGTCCCAGCTCCTATCTCTGTCTTCCTCCATGGTGTTCCGCGATTGTTTTCCTCTGAGTAATAGATGGAAGTAAATAGGTAGCTGTGTGTATTTTCCTTGGGACGTTTCGACTGTATTTTTTTCGTGTTTTTCGATAGTCCGAGGGGAGCCTCTCGCCCGAAGCCTCCAGCCAGCGCTAGGGTTTCCTGGGGTTGGGTTAGTCATCCGTGTTACTCTTGCGATCCTCTCGGCTATTATTTACCAATTTATCGCGCGTCTGCGGAGATCTCTGCCCGAGAATTTCTTGTACTCTTATTTTTCATCCTGCACTTGCTTTTATCGAGAGGAATAAATACAGGCGTCTGTGTTTTCTTTGCTACGTTTAGTTCGTACCTCTCTAATCGATACATTCCCTCCTCGGAATGCCACATTTCGCGAATATATCTTCTTTATCCCGTAAGTATTCCCTTGTTTGTTTCGATTGCGGAATTTTTTCTCGAGAACCTGTTTTTCAAAGATGGGGTCCGTATTTTTCTTTCTCACCAAACATATTCCTCGGATTTCATAGCAGTTTGCTAAAAAAAGCCGGGTCCTCTAGGGCAGGAATTCTCGGTGATTATTTATGGGTCGATTCGGATGTTTCCGTTTCACAAATGGACCATCTACCATCATCTACGGAAACCTCTATAAATTAGCAATTTTATCTTCTTCGCGTTTACTCGTCTTAACCCTTGGCAATCCAGAGGCGACTCTCGGTCGCCATTTAATCAGATTCTGAAGATCGTTATTGTTGAAAATAAGATACGTCTTAACGTATCGAATAGAGAAAAATTATTCTCTCAGGAGAAATAGTTATATCTTTGATCGCGCACAACTTTGCTGATGCATGTACGTCACATATTACAACATATTACAACAAGCGCTATTGCGACGATTGCGATTTTTCGACATAAAATTAAACAAGCGCTATCGCACCGTTTAGACTTCTTCGCACTCGATTAAGGCAAGCGTTATCGCGAAGATCGGGGTTTTTCGACCTTTTCGAAGGCCTCAAGCTCTGCTCGAGACTCAAACGATTAAACTATGCGCCGCAGAAGTTCCCGGAATGTGTGAAGTGTTTACTTCACACGTTAGATAAGAATTAGGGGAACAGGACGAGCTGTAATCGCGTACCCCTTTTCTTCACTCTAGTTTTCACTCTCTACGCGAAATAGTCAGAATACTTGAGATGTACCTCCCTTAGGAGAGAATAAAGATAATTATAAAATACAGATAGTTATTTATCCCAATAATTATTAATTAATATCTGGAATTTAAAATTGTCCATCGAAGCTTGTAATACCAAAGTAAAATAATTCTACGTCTTATTGTTAATTTGCAAAAATTAATTTCCTATTTACCGTTTTGAAAATATCCTTAATTTTATGGCAGAAAGCCTTCGAATTACTATGTTTCTGTAACGAAAGGATCGTCGAGTATCGAGATTACCCTGCCTCGAACGTTGCTGCCCGATTTCAACCCTTAACTTTGATTTCTGAGATTCGGTGGCTGGTTGGTATTCGATGTTAGCCGATAATAACCGAGAAGAGAAATAAATTTCCCGGGGTCTCGGGTTTCATCCATAGCGATGGCTACCGTGACGCAAGACCAGGCCTGGGCCAGAGACACGTACGAAAGAAAATACGCGGCTCGTACGATGACGAATCGTTGATTAGGACGCGGCGTGTTTCCTTCGCGCTGCAATGTAATCTGTCAAGCGTTTTAAAAACGCCTGAAAATAATCCGGCGTGACGCAAGGGGCGTCTGGCGTTCGCCTGACGTCGAAGAACAGACCCCTTCGGAATTGCGAGATCCGTACAGGTAGAAATAGCATGACGATGGCGAGAGAGGGGTGAGACAGTGACGAGTACGTGGTACAGTGCTTGGAATTAGATAACGATGGATTTTTGGTGAGAAAATAGCCGCGAATTGGACACAACGACGTCATTCTTTGTGGATCGATGACGCTTAATAATTCGAATTATCAGTGGATACTGGGGTTGTGCGTTTTGCCGCGTGAATAACGTTTCATTACTTGCTTCAGGTATTTAATATCTTTCTTGAGCTAGAAAAGTGTGAATGATTGAATAAAGGTGATGGTATAGTGGATAAAAGTCGGGATAAAATGGATTCGTGTGATTCGTATTGGTACCTGGTATATAATACTGTTGGATGACTAACGATTCCTTGACCCTTAGTCACTAGAAGGGCCTGACCAATCTGACCAAAACGCAGACAAATTTTGCTTCTTCTTTCAGACATGTATGTAGCAGATCACGACTGTGACAACATCTTTTGCGTGGATATGACTGATAGAGTAGATAATAATTTAGGGTAATTTACGACGGGGTCTGAAAGGGTCTACACGTGGTGGGAGCGTTTTCCGACTGTGGGAGACAACTCAAAAGATCCTAGGTCAGAATTGTGACAGCTTTCCTCTTGTTGGATGACTAACAATTCGTTGGCCCTTAGTCACTAGAAGGGCCTGGCTGATAAACGCAGACCAATTTCAGAGTCCAAAAACGATTGACTCGTTCCCACTTTCGCTAAGAGCCAATGGTCATCTTCACCCCAGCAAAAACTGACATTATATAAGCATCCACAAAATTTGCGAAAAGACAGTTTCAATACAGTTTTCAGTTCAGTAGTCAGTTCAGTCAGTTGCAGTTTCAATTTCTGTTTTGTTTTTTCCTCTCCATCGACTTGTATCTTCCCAACGTAGCCTTGTTGCTAGAACCCGTATTGTATATTGAAATCTAGGTTCCAACACTCTTACAGTTAATGCGAAATGCATTTTGTATTCTTAGAATGAAAAATGACGCCTTGTCAGTCTGCCAATTCGGGTCCTTTTTCTGTTACAACGGCTTTCGCTTTATTTTTGGCAGTATTTGGCAGAATTTAGAGAATTGCCTGTTAAAATCATTCCAACGTGGTGCGAAAGAAACTTACGGGACACACTGATGTATATACATTCTGCATCTCTTTCACTAAGGGCCAATGGTCATCTT